AAACTTAATCTTAATTTGCCTCATATCGAATCCGAAAGTTTTTTTTTTCAAAGATTGTGATACTTTATCATAAAATAAAGAGAAACATTGGTTTATTCCAACAAAGTGAAGACACAACAGAGTTTCGACATCATCATTGAATGATTTGTATAATCTGCTAAAGACTCATGAAGGTGAGGTAAATGAGATGGCTGAAGAATCGAAATTAAGCTTGGGTGGACCATTAGCTTTAGTTTCGAAAGTTTCAGAAAAGGAACAGGTTGAAGCGGAGAATTCTGATGAAGAAGGGTTTATTGTTAATTCGGATGATGAGGCTGTTGCTTTTTATTCAAATAATAAAGTCAAGAAATTTTTCAAGAAACCGTTCAATTCAAATTCGAAAAATGTTGATGTGAAAGGAAGATTTATGTCGAAGGCTGGAGGAGAAGAGAAGAAGAAAAGTGAGAAAAAGGAAGTAGATAAAGAAGAGACAAAAGTTGAGAAGAAGATTAAAGGTGATTCAGGAATTGATTGTCATTATTGCCAAGGAGCCAATCATATGGCTAGTGATTGTCAACTTCGTAAAAAGGATGAGAAGAAAAACAAAGTGAAGGACGAAGCCTATTACGTTGAGAGATTGGAAGAAGTAAGGGCAAAGGCGAAAGGAATGTCACTGATGGCAAAGGGAGAGGTCGATGATGAGAATGAAGGAACTCATCAGATATGGTCTTCGGGATCGGATGACGAAGAAATGCGTAATCCTACACATGGAGCCATGTTTGCGAAATTTGAGGATAAATCTGACGAAGCGGTGACAGGTCGTTGCTTCATGACTAAAAGTTCTGACAAATCACCAATGAACACCAAGGTACGTTCTATTCTTCAATCTTTTAATATTCCTTTGAGTGCATATGATTCTGAATTAATTGCTTTTGATGATACTGTTGCTTATTTCAATGCTTTGGTTATCTCTGCTAGCAACGAGGCTAAGAAATCAACTTCTCAGTTGATAGAAGTACATAAGCAGTTAGATGCCAAGAAAATAAGAATTGAGAGTTTAGAATTGCAGATTACAAATATCATGTGTGATAGGGATTCGTTAAGCAGTGATGTTAAAATGTTGTTAGCTCGAAGAAATATATACTGTAATTTTGCAAAACGTTTATATGCAAAATTGACTGTTTTGCATCATTCGTCTGATATTAGCAAAGAACAACATAGAAAGTTATTACCTTTTCTAGCATTCGAAAGAGAGAAAATTGATAGCTTGTCTTATGATTGTGAGAAAACCATAGCAGAATTCGATAAAGTGTCTGATAATCGATTTGCTTATGGTATTGATAAAATAGACGAATATTTGAATGCTGATGAACTTGTTGACATTGTCAATGATACCTTAACCAAAAATGAACAAATCAAAATTTTGAAAAGAACTGAGAATTCGAAACTTGACTCTCAATCTAATTTCGCTGATGTCGATGATAATTCTGATAGTTTTAGCGAAATCAGTGAAATTGAGGAAAAGGAAAGTGTCGATTGTTCACAGTTGTCTGTCATTAATGTCACATCTAAGTCTAAAGGATA